AATAATAATAATAATAATAATAATAATAATAATAATTAGTCACGGTAATATTAGACTAAAATCTAGTGGTGATAATACTAGGTTTCGTCAAAGGAAATTATTTTAAAGTAAACGAAGCGCTGTCCGAGTACCGAGTCACCACCTTCTCAGGTGAGTGCATAGTCCCTTTCATCTTACACATAGATATGAAGTATTTTAATATAAATTACGTGCTATGTGTGCATATTATCTGAATACTTGCTGTCTATGCTGAGTGAAAGATTTTATACATGTTTTAAATGATTTAAACTATATATGTATTTTATATCTACGAAAATGTTGGGGTAAAACATGGGTAGATATAATAGATGAAATATGAGTTGGATGATGAGTTGAGAGGTGATATAGACTATAAGGTGTGGGTGAGAGGTGTACGATGTGAGAAGCCTTTTTCCCAAACGATGTCCCCGTCATTCAGCAGAGTATGGATGACAACCACGGACTATCCTAGATAGTCCAGTGGAACACTATCAGGCTCGCAACCTGTAGGTGTTGTGAACGATGTGTTCACCCGGTGTACTCTAAACCTTGGTGATCATGCAGACTTGATACCTAGACCCTGGCGATCATGCAGACTTGGTGCCTATTGTATAAATTCTGGCGACTATGCAGACTTAGTGCCTAAACCCCGGTGACGATGGACTTCGTGCCGATTCCTTAGGATGATCCTTAGGAATGTATGAACGAGGAATAGTTGATTCTTAGGGTAGATCCTTAAGAATAAAGCAGATAATAGGGATGGGTAATTGGGTTGATTGTTTGATTGTTTGAAAATAATAATTATATTATTGTGGGTTGAAAACCCTATGTACTCACCAGGTTTCCTAACCTGACCCACTCAGTTTATTTATATCACAGGTGTTGATATGAAGTCACATTACATTGAGAGATTTAAAGAGATGTAGATCACTAGTGTAAATAAATGTAAGTTCTATTTATGCTTATGTTTCTGTATTAACGATGACATCCCAAATGTTTTAAAATGAACAAAATACGTTTCTTTGAAAATGTTTTAAAAACGTATTTATCATGTTTTTTTTTCTGGGAACAAATTCCGCAACATTTTTATTAAAAGAAGTACTCTGATTTTTATAAAACATAAACAAAAATCGGTCTTTTCTGGCCGTGAAAATGGGGATGTCACAGTGTTCATTGTATGCAGGAATGATGAACGGAATATATATTTTAGCAAAATCATATATAAGGACATTCAATCTGCACTAAATTTCTCAAGTAGAGTTAGTACTTATTTTCAAATTACAATAAACATTAAAACATATGTAAGTATGACTTTTCAATGAAATTGTAAGTATGAATTGAATGAGGAAATTAGGAAAAGGTAGGAGGTGGCTTTACACGTCTTATACGTACGGTGGTTCATTTTCAAATACGATTAACCAACAATTAACTGTAGAAGCAATCTATCAAACATCTGGTAGACAAGGCAAATAGACACTACTTTAGTTCATGATTTAGCATCTTGAATCCTACCTACATCTCCACCAATTCAATAATTCAAATTATAGCATAATACAGTAAGTAAACTCTAATAGGTGAAAGTTTTATTTAAAAATTAAAGCAGAACAACAATCAATGAAAGCAATTTACAGTTCAGATAAGGTTAAAAACGTATCTTCTAATGGTGATTGTATACACCACTCTAAAGGTAGGAACAGTAACACCCTCAGGCATGTGCAAATCAGAATTCAATTCTTTCCCAAGTTTTTTCACACAGGAAGACGCGACAATCTCCTTGTCTCCATCGCTGTGACTGACTACGAGCAGCAACAACATAGTTGCAATCTTCATTTTCGAATCCATGGCCTCTCGCTGATTCTCGCATAAGCAACTTGATATTTGGATATGATTCGGAAGGCATGTACTGGTGATCAGCAAAGATTCGAATGTCATATATGGACATGAGTATCGTTGGATCCAATTTATAGCTTTCTTTAAAAATATAGAGCAAAATATGGAAAAAAAGAGAAAAATAATTTACTTCAATTGTAGCTTCGAAATTCAGAAATCCACAGCCACAACATAAGTTTGAGTGCGAATCGATTGTCGCTTAGGCGATAAGACAGTAAAGAGAGAAATGCATAAGTGAGAACACAGTGAGAATCGGAAAACACCCAAACTGGGTTGGGTTCTTAAGCAGAAAAGATCGGTGAATCGGTGAACGTAGGTTGAACATCGGTGAATTAGAGTTTATAGAAGGGATATAGAGGGAGGTTTGGAGAAGAGAAAGCAGTGATGGTCAGTAGAAAAGCATAGGAATATAACACGTGCCTTGGATACGTGTCCACTCATTGAATAAAAGATGAAGACGGTGAAGATGGCGGTGTTGGATCACGTCTACAGAGAAACACTCACACACAGATGGTTGAAGAAGGATCGAGATGAAGGCGGTAGGTTTATGGTATTGTATGGTAAAAAAAACGGTGAAGAAGAACACTAATCCGAACGTGATTGGCTAACAAAACGGTAAAGCAAAGTAAAACAACACGTAGCCATTAAAATATAGACATTGACAGAAAAGGGCCACAAACCAAAAAATAGACATAAATGAACATATTGATATAAATAGATGATCATTTTTGCCCCATCCTTAGCAAATTTACTGTAGCTAAGGATGGAGAATTTTAATATATATATATATATATATATATATATATATATATATATATATATATATATATATATATATAGGGAAAAGTGAATATACCCATAAGGGTATATAAGCTTAGGTATCCAAACACACCATAATACGTCGTTTTGTGTAATATATTCATTATAATGTTCTTAAACTTCAACCCCTAACTTGATTTAATTTCAAGATTTTCGAAATTTCACTATTATTTTTCTCTTATATCACATCTTTTTATCGAACACTTATTAAGTTATATTTATTGTAGTTGAAAATAAAAATTAAGTAAGAGGAAGATAAATGTGTAATAAATAAAAATAATGGAAGTAAATCAATTTAGAAGTTAAATTATAAGAACACTGCACAATTATAATGTATTATATGATACAAAACGACGTAGTATGGTGAGTTTTGGTACCTAAGCTTATATACCCTTAAGGGTATATTCACTTTTCCCATATATATATATATATATATATATATATATATATATATATATATATATATATATATATATATATATATATATTTGTTTGACATAATTATGAAATTTTGTAATTATTATTTAGTGACACCTCAAAGCTAACCCAACCTCTTGTCCACATTATATGTGGTAAAATGATGAAAGTAAAAGAAAAAGGAAGTTGAGCATTGGTAAGTTCCAAGGATATAAAGATAATTCTTCTCAAGGAGATCATTGAGGAGTACATGAAAGACATAGCTAATTATATAAAGGTTCTTTTATTTTATAAAAAGATGTAAGATTATATTTAGAGAGTAAAAAATGGCCATCTACTTCTCAGGGGCACTGCTAGTGGAATGAAAAATACACTATTAACTGTGAAATTGTTTTTCATACTTTGAAAATATTGATGTTTTATCAAAAGATAAAAGCAGCAACAGACAATGGAGATCCCATTGGAATGGGGTAGAAGAGGTAAACGTGGATAATGTGACTTTCAGCATGTAAAACCAAAACTTGTAAAATGGATAAAAATAGAAAGCAAATCAGAGTGGACACTAAGATATAAGGGAGGAGGGAGTCATTCCCTTCCAATCCAATGAACCAAAACCACTATCACATCAATTTTTTTCTCTTCTTTTTCTTTATTTTTTCTAACCCACAAAACATGCAAAATCTTATCTTTTTCAACTCATCCAATTAAAAAAATATACAAAACAACTAACGTACAAGTTTTAAAATACAAAAAAAAATTGAGAGGGAGAAAGCAGAGAGATGCCCAGCAAAATGGACGGTCATATTTGGGGAAAAAATTGTTTGATGTTTGACTATTTCTTTTAAGAACCGTACGAACATGACCATTTTTGGCTTTCTCTTTTATATCTAATAGGTGTGAGCCCCATGTATTACATGGGTGTATTTAAAACAATTATATATGTATAAACATTTGAAAATTTTGAATTTTTAAGAAAAATGAGAAAAATATTGAATTATTAAAATTAAAGTGTTTTTTTTTTTTCTTTTAAATTTAAACAAATCATTTAGATAAAATAATCAAAGCAAATTAATGAAATTTTATTTTAAAATTTTGAAATTATAAGGAAAGTCAATTAATAAAATTGATATGCATTTATTATTAAATTTAAATACCATATGGAATTTAATAAAATAGGAAAACCATAAAATTACATATGGAATAAAAATTAATTCAAAATAACCACAAAATGACATGTGGCAAAATAAATGAGAGTGTGACAAGTGGCAAAAAAACCCTTCATTTATTAAAAAAGATTTGCAACACAAACTAACAAAATATTTTATTAAAAATATATATATTTTTTTCTTTTCTTCACGTACATATCTTGACCAAATTATTTTTTTCAATTTATTAATAATTTCTCCAACATAACTTTTTATTAAAAATATTACTATTTGCAATATTTTTTTTCAGTTTATGAAAAATATAAAAACTTTTAGTTTCATTAGAAAATCAATGTTTATAATAATGGAGGTTCAAAAGTAGTTTATGTTTATAACTTCTAGATTTAAATATACCAAAAGTTGTACAATTAACTATTAGCATACTTGAAGGGTTGATGATCAAATTTTACAATTATTTATTAATTTGAATATTTATGTTTGTTCGTTATGTTCATATATAGTCATGTATATTTTTACATTTGTTTCGTCTATGCTTGTTCATTATGTTTATTTAGCACATTAATAAATGTAAACGAACGACGCAAAGAATGTGATATGTTAAACGCACGAACATAAAAAAGAAAATTTATTCGTGTCTATTCGTTTGTTCAATTAACTTAAGCAAATGAACCAAAACAAGCCCTTATTTGTGTTCATTCAATCATTTACAACAATATCTTTGTTCGAGAAAACTCACGAAGTTATCAGAAATGGGTCCCATGTAATAGAAAAATTACAGAAATGGTCCATGTGTAAGTAAAAGTTACAATAACGGTCCATGTGTAAGATAACTTCACAGTAATAGTTCCTATGTAATAGAAATATTATAGAAATGGTCATTGTAAAGCAAAATGACATAAATAGCCCCTCTGTAACACATAAATAGTCCTATGTGTAAAATAAAATTACATAATTGTACCCGTGTAGCATCAGAATTATAGAAAGAGTCCATTTGTAAGAGAACAATAGTGTTGGAAATATAGAATTAATAAACCTGCAAAGGTTTATTGAGCATCTTGAGAAGATTTGCAGACGCTTTTTTTGAGGAGGGAATGAAAGAAAAAATAAAATCAATTGGGTGGTCTGGAAGGTGATTCTTGAGCCTAACTATCAAAGTGGTCTCGGGGTGGGCTCCCTTGATTCATTGAAGTGGGCTTTGATATACAAATAGCTTTCGCAGTTTAAATGTGACTTTGTGTCTCTATGGAAGCGAGTCATTTGTGGCATTCACAACAAAAGAAAACCTATTGACGGTCTCGCCAAAAAATCGATTCTTGGAATCTAGTTTAATTTTGTTAAGGTGGCCCGTGTGGTGGAGGAGGTTGGAATTGACGTTTCTTCAATTTTTCAAATACATGTTGGTTCCGGTAATTCTACTTTGTTTTAGTTAGACAATTGGATAGGTTGTGGTTCTTTGGTTGCATGATATCCATCTCTTTTTGCCCTTGATAAGAAAAAAAATCATGTTATATCGAGGAGAAAATATTGAATAATAGATTTGTCAAGTATTGGAAAAGAATTCTTAGTAGCTATATTGAAATTGCGGAATTAAGAGGTTTAAGGGGCTGCACAGATGAGATGGTTTTGAGTAAAGAGACGAATATTTGGAAATCAAAGCTCTCTCCTAATGGGGAACTTTTCCGTTCATGATTTGCGTGTCATAATCGATTCTAAGCTTATTGTTCTTATGTCCAATCTGACTCTTTGGTTAACGTTGATCTCGTTGAAAATTATTGTCTTTGTTTGGAAGGCTTGTATTGATAGGCTTCCTTCGGCTGTGACTCTTGCTCGAAAGGGTATTTCTATCTTGAACATCTTCTGTCAGTTTTGCAATGGTGGAATCGATGATTCCAATCATTTTTTTCTAAGTTGTCCTCAGGTGGAAAATTCCTTAAGGTGGATTTTGTTAGCCATCATATATGTTTTCTTATGGTGTATTTGGAAAGCGAGAAACAACAACATTTTTAATAATCTGAGTGCTTCTATTTCCATGTCGATGGATAGTATGCTCGCTATGGTGTTTGATTGGATCAAACATAAGGGTAATTACGGAATTGTAAATATGCGGTTTGAGTTTGCTCTCCTTTTGATATCATGTAATCATTTTTGTTTGTATTATGTTTTTCTTTGCCCAACCTTGTTTTTATTTTAGGAACAATCTCCACTTCTCAAGCTTTGTAACAGCTTCAAGTACCCAACCTCTTCGGGTTTAATGAACCTACACATATATTTCACAATTGTCAAACAACTTTTATTCTACTAAATATTAAATTCCTAATGGTCATAGATATATCATTTTTTTATAACTAGATACATAATAATTTTGTCATCTTTTTGTTAGTTTTTTTAAAAAAAAGGACCCGCCAATGTTTACTAAACAAAAAAATTTAAAAGTGACCAATTATCAGTTTATCATCTTTAATGTTATTGTTAAATACCTTTTCTTTTTATAAACATTACATGTGCTAAAAAATAACAACTTCGTAGAAGAAGAGGCTTCATAGAATATTTCACAATGATGAAGGTGATTAGTAAATTTTATTAAAAAAAAAAAACTTTTAAAAGAGGTCAATGATTTAATAGGTTTTTTTATAAAGTTAGTGGAAAGCTGATATGTCAAAACAAAAACTATATATGAGGTCGAGGATTGTGATGTTTTTAGACTATCTCCAACCAATAACACAATTTTTTATACCAAAATGGTGAATAAATGGAGCAAATAGAGTTTCATCTTCAACCCTACACCATTTTTTATATAAAGAAGTATATTCTCAGTATATTCTCTTTTTGTAACTTATATAGATTGTCAAAATCAAAAGATCATTCTTAATTAGTTATGTATTCCATATTTTTTATTACAATAACTTAATAAATTATATTATCATGAAACTATAGATCGTCAAAAACACTCGATTTTATCAGTTATACAAATATGAAACATATTTAACTAATCTCATTAATATTTTGGTTTAATCTACTCTAATAAATGAAAATCTTTTCGCCACATGTCACACTTTCATTGATTTGGCCACATATCATTTTGTGGGTTTTTTTCAATTAAATTTTTTCTTTTAAATGAACCCATGTATTCACATGGGTTTTACACCTAGTACAATAATATGTAATATACTTTGCAAATGGTTTAGTATTATGGTATTTTAGTCATTTTTAAATCTAATATAATAAGTAAATGCATTAGTATTACTATATCAAACCATATTATTTACTGAAAGAAAGACCAAAGTTCATACCCATGTCTGAAAAGGAAATCAATGATGACTAGATTGCAATTTGCTTTGAAGAAATTTGTATTTCTGATGACGTCAGCAACAAGTGTTACAGGGAGTAGTTTAAAGCTTCCCACTTCTCCATCTGTTATTCACTCACACAACCATTTTAACTTAATAGAGAAAGTCAGTTTTCTCAAATATTTTTAGATATATCATTTATCCACATAATAATTATTTAATAGATAAATAAAATAAAAACTTACCCTGATTGTTGGGAACGAAAGTTTCCGGAAGCTTTAGATCATAACAAAATAAAACATCTCTCTTGAATCTATAACCTTCAATGTCCATGTAGGAGACTACACCAACTGGTATAGCTCTGATTGAAAAAAAAATCCACAATTTTTTTAATACAAAAAAATAGCAATTTATTTATTTGTTTATTTTAGCATATCATACTTTCATTTTATAACAATGTAATTGGGAAGATTTTTCAAAGTATAATGAAACTAAAAGTAAAAGTAAAAGTATGTTGCTGTTTCTTGCATTTTGCCCTAATTTACCTTGTAGAAATGGAACTTGGGATTCCTGCTTCTTCCTCACATTCCTTCACAAGATTATCTCCAGGTGAGATTCCATGGGGCTGCATTTATCGGATTAAAACTCATTTACACATGATACAAGAATAAACATGAGTTATTAGTTATTAGATTAAGAAAAATAAAAATAAAAAAAGAAAATTCTACCATTCCTCCAGCAACAAGATGGTCAAGCATTCCTGGGTAGGTTTGTTTCATTTCACTTCTTTTCCCAATCCACATGTATTTTTCTCCATCTTTTTCAACATATCCACACATGTGAACTCCATAAGCCTACAATAAGATATTACAAGATTATGTGAGAATGCTTAATTAGTAATTACAATGTGTAAGATTTTGCTAATTTGGAAGATTTTAAGATATGAGATATGACATACGTTTATCCCAAAGTAAGGTGCTGCTGCACGTTCCAGTGAGAAATAAACTTGTTCTCCATAAGATGAAGTAACAGGATATAGCTGCAATCATTAAAAATTATAATCTAAGATGAAAGAACACTATGTGTGTTGGAAATCAAAAGCATAGATTCAAGGTCATGAAAAAGTACCTCATTTCGTATACCTGGAATTACTTCTTCACCTAAGCACTTGATTACATTTCCAAGGGCTTCAGTTCTATGCTCAGGTGTTTTCAATGCAGATTGTAATGTGATATGGCCAGATTGACTACCATATGAATCACCTTTGATGTAAGTGAAAACGTCCTTGAACTTGCTTAAATGGTCAAGAAAACTGCACAAAGTTCAAAGACCTGATGCTAAATTAGCTTGATGATTGATGAATATCATTAATTTAAACTACTCAGAAGAACAAAGGAACGATAGATCTGATTATGCACCTTAATGCGAGAGACATTACCCGTTATGAACATTGCCAACAATTTGGTCCTCGATGACAAAGGGAATGAAATCAGAACGCGTTTCCTGCAATCAGTTGATACGGATTAATGCCTATAACTATTAGTCTATTCTATATCTACATATGCTAAAATCAAAATTTCCTTTGAACTACGATGAACAGAAGAGAAGGAATTTTTACGGAATGATAAAAAAAAAACAAAAAAAAAACACTGTAAGACATTTGCGATTGATAAATCTAAGAAATTATGCTCAACGAAGAGTTTACCCGGCCTCGATTGCATGATTTGATCTTCTGAAAGAATCCACTGAGATCCGATGAAACATTCCGCTGTTGAGATATTTGAAAGACATCATCCCAAGTGAAACTGCTATCATTGCTAGTAGAACTACTAATATTTCTCGTTGAACTGCTTGATGATACAGCGGCAGCAACAGAATTTCGATTAAGGATGAAAGTGAGAGGTCTGACTGTGGATATGCTTTGAATCATAATAGGAAAATTACAGCGGTGATAACATGATGAAGATGGTGAAGAAAAGTTGCTAACACCGTGAGAAGTAAGATTATCGTGGTGGTGGTGATAGCCACCGGCGATAGTGCAGGAGGCAACGGACATATTTTTTCAACTACTCGACGGGAAAGCTGTAAACTGTAATTGCGAATGAAAGGATTTACTTCCCCGGTTTTTGTGCATTATATTATATTTTCCATAAGGTCCCTCAAATTTTGATATATATCAAAAGAGGCTACATCGAGGTCTACAGAAAAAAGTATTTAATAGACAAAATTGCAAAAATTGTCCTTGTGGTTGGCAAAATTATGTGACTTTGATCCAAAAAAGTTTGATGGTGCATTAGTGGTCCAATTATGGATCTTTTTATTGTTTTTGGTCCCTATACACTTATAAAGACAATTATGCCCTTACAATTTATATTTTTCATTTTCTTTAATTTTGGAAATGCATAAATTAATTTAATTTATATTTTTCATTTATATTTCATTTGTCTCATCTCTCTCAACAAAAGAAACACATACACACACACTCAAGAAACATATCACCCCTAATGGATGCCACCATTACCACCGACTGCAACCACCAACAACTACCACCGTCCGCCACCATCACCATTGGCTGCCACCACCATCCACTATAAACAACTAATCCCATCCTCGCCCATCTTTCTTTCCTCAGACCTGGATGAAATTTCCCCACCAGAACCACCCTTCTGATTGGTGTTGTCCCTACCAAAATACCACCACTTCCATTTTTCAATGATTAGGGGTTTCAGCCACCACCACCACCACCATAGAAGATGACAACATCGTCATTCACCACCATTGTCTTTCTCAACCACTATTCGCCACCAACCACCATCATCTCCCCCACCCTCACCTCCTCTCCGTTAACCAGGTGACCTTCACCGTTGACCACCAAACCACCGTTCATCGATTTTTTCCAAATGCCTCTCAATCCTATAAGACTTGAAACATAAGAAAATCAGGGGGTGATTGATTCGAAAGGGGTTGAAAAGAACCTCAAATGTTTCATCAAAAGTACAGAGAAATGAAAAATCTTCTACCTAGCTAGATAGAGCAAAAATCAAACCTCGTATAAAATCTTTAAAGACATGTCAACTACGAGAGTCTTAGAGAGAAAAACACTAACTTGTTTCTATCAGATTCTCAATTTTGGCGATATACAGGTCCGATTTCATAGTTTTATTTACATATCTGAATTCTAGAATTTATGCTCCTTGATGATGGTCAGACGGTTTTGTATTGCCCAGATGTATTTGAACTTACCCCTCTTGGTGCAAATCGAAAACCCAGAAAGATGATCCTATCTGATTTGCGTTTTTTTATTCTTTGGTTTGGAATTTTTTAAGGTATTGGATGTGTGTAACGATCTAGTTTGTAGATCTGGAAATGAACATTTTGAGCTATCGGAGAAGACGAAGGGGCAGTGGTAGATGGGTCGCGTCATTGGAATTTTCATCTGGGTCACAAGCTACCGTCACCGGAGTTTGCTAGGGGTGGGCGGTGTTGCACAAGTAAGGGGCTGCAATGGTGGTGTAGGCGGTGGTTTTCGAGCATCTGTAGAATACAGGGAGAGGGTAGACCAAGTACCGATTTTGGTGTTATTAAGAGAGAGAGAGAGAGAGAGAGAGGTGGGGTATAGTGGGTGATAATTTAATTTTCTTTTTATTTTAAATAATATAATAGGAAATTTAATAAAATAAATTAAAAATGAAATATTTCAGGGAATATTGGTCATTTTATGTTGTGTGTGGACCAAAACCACACAAAAATGACAATAAAGGGACCAAAACCGTAGAAGGTATCCAAAATTGGACCACTAGTACACCGTCAAACATTTTTGGACCAAAGTTACATAATTTTGCCAACCACAGGGATCTTTTTTGCAATTTTGTCTATTTAATAATAAGAAAAAATATCATAAATGATCCCTGTGGTTTTCCAAAATATGAAGTTTAGTTCCCGTGGTTTAAAAACCTCATAGATGGTCCCTGTGTTTTCAAAACTTTTGACGATTGATCCTTATTGCTAACTCCGTTAAAGTTTGTCCGTTAACTAAAGGGCATTTTCGTCATTTCACTACCACATGGACCATTTATGATGTTTTTTAAAGAAAAATTAAACATAACTATTTATTATATATAAACTCTCTCTCTCTCTCTCTCTCTCCCCCCCCCCCCCCCCCAAGAATGAAATCAAATAAAAAAACTACTCTATCAAAACATAGAAACACACTTTAACAAATCTGGAAACACACCATCGTTCATGCTTGGTTCTATTCTTCACCCAAAATCTAAATCATCAATAATGAAAGGGAAAGAAAAATCTAGAGAAAATCGAAGCAGAAACCGTTCGATTTCTAGATTTCTGGATCTATATGAGGAGATGAAGTTCATAGGAGTCACCACCACCGTATTCATCTTTTATCCTTAGAAGAAAATCGGAGCAGAAACTGTTCCATAGTCCCATTCACCGGCCTTCACTACCACTCATCGATACTTGCCAAGTTCAGATCAACAGCTGAGAAACGGAGAAGAAGATGATGAAGGTTCTGATTTCCATTTATTTCTATGGATCTGGTTTTACAGTCGATCTAACACCACCGAAGGCTCCATGTCCTTCCCTCTTTCATCTATGTTAATTTGCTCATCTTTATGTCTCTGATCTTTGTTAACCCAGTTCTTTTAATGTATTTTCGGATGGGTTATTCGATTTGGTTAATGTATTTCTGGTTTGTGGCTATATTTGTTTTGATTTTCAGACCCCCGAACTAAAATCTTTTAGGAAAATTTGGTGTTAAGCTTTTGGCTGTGAGGTGAAAGTCGACAAGAGAGAGAGTTAATATGCTCTAATTAATATCAGTGGCCAACATTCTATGGTTGAGATTTCATTGACTGAGATCATGGTTGATCTCGATTGTTGTTACTGGGTTTGTTTGAAAGTGTTCTTGATGTCGACTAATTATTTGAGCCTCGATTTGGAAAAATTGATTTCAAATAACTTGATTTCAGATTCAGTTTTGGTTTGATATCGATTCAAATTCAATATTCTGCTTTTTTACAAACTATTTTTGGTTTTAGTGATATATATATATATATATATATATATATATATATATATATATATATATATATATATATATATATAGAGAGAGAGAGAGAGAGAGAGAGAGAGAGTTTATATAAATTAAATAGTTATATTTAATTTTTCTTTAAAAAAACATCATAAATGGTCCCTGTGGTAGTGAAATGACGAAAATACCCTTTAGTTAACGAAAAAACTTTAACGGAGTTAGCAATAAGGACCAATCGTCAAAAGTTATGAAAACACAGGGACCATCTATAAGGTTTTTAAACCACGAGGACTAAACTTCAAATTTTGGAAAACCACACGGATCATTTATGATGTTTTTTCTAATAATAATTTGTTTCAGGGTCAAATCATTAATTAAATAATAATCAAAATTTAAATTTTGTTCTATTTTGTATTTGAAATTTCTTTTTAAGATATAAAGGGGGTGTTTGGAATATCTTTTGAGAGGACAAAAGAACTTTTGGAAAAAGATAACAAACAAAAGATGTTTGGGAAAAGCTTCTTAAAAATTTCTTTTGGATTTTTTAAAGAAGAAAAACTGATTTTTTGGAAAAGTTAGGGAAACCTAGCTTTTTGGAACTTTTCCCAAAAGTTCTTTTGCCTCTGAAAAAATACCCCAAACACCCCCAAAATCATTAAGCTGCAAATTTGATCTTATTCTTATGAACTTTTTTATTTTCTCAAAGGCTTATGAAACTTCTAATGTGATTTACTTCTTACCTATTGAATAAGTTACTTAATTTTTTCTATTTTTTTTTTCAAACGTGATTTCTCATAATGTCATTAGCTTTTCAATTCCTTATTTTCTCTATTTTGATTAATATTAATTTATTTAGCAAACTATCACCATCAAGACGACCTGGTGATGATCATTTAGGATTAATACTTAAAAAATTGGAGTTGTCTCACATTCGAAATCTATAAACTTCAACCATGCGACGATCTTCTGTTCCAAAAGAAATTATTTACTAAATATTTGACACAACTTCTTATCTGCAAAAGAATGGATCTGAATGGCTTAATTTTTCTAGCCCCAAATTTTCCTATCACATCTTTATATAATAGTGCCATCGTCTTGATAAGCTCTTATTGTTCTTTTCTAAAAGGTCAATGAGTTCACATGGAATGTTCTTAATAGTGTTTTAAGGTGGAAACAAAGTACTAACTTCCCTATAATGATATTATAGTGAGGGAATTTTTTTTTGAAAGGGGTGATGTATATAATATAGAGACATGTGGGTTTGTTCATGCTTTTGTTGGTGGAAGGGATAGACAAGAAGATAAAGTGGAAAGATGTCTGGATAAAATTGTTACTATTTGGGTTGTTGCAAGTTCAATAATTCGACAATATTATCCATTAATTGACTTGTATAATGGTGTATTATTTCATAATGGAATCAAATTTCATAATAATAGAATAAAACTAAAACTTCTTTACTATTGAATAATTTATTTTTATTTTTTTTTAAATATGTTATCAAGTTATCGTTATATGTCAAAAATATTAGGATGTGGTAAGTTGAATTCGGTAAGGTTGATATGGAACCTACTTGGCATGACAAACACTTCACGTTCACTCTCTTCTTCTTTCTTTCTTTTTTGCCACTCTCTCTTTACACAATTCTTTTGGTATGGCTAAGCTGTGTGGCAAAATTGAGGTGGAAGTGACAAAATAGCATCAATTTCTTCATTTTTATCCATGTCACTACTGAAATAGATAAAATCATTTGATTAAAAAACAAAACAAAATAAAAATTTAGCGATTAAACTTTTTTAAAGAATAATTTAAGGCGCACTGTTAAACTTAGTTGCTACTCCCTCCGTTTCAATATTATTGTCCACAGATAAAAAACACATAAATTAAGAAAAACATTAATTACCACTAACTTTATTTAATAAAATGACAGTTTTGTCATTATTTTATATTTAATGTTCCATTAGATGCTTAGTTGGTTAAGTAATAATGAGAGGTATTTTGATAAAAATATTATTTATTTTTAGAAGTGAACTATCATTTTGAGACAAACAAAAAAGGAAAGATAGATTATAATTTTGGATCGG